TTCTACCCTAAGTAGTATGATAGAACCCTGCTCTTTGGAATATGTTCTCTTTACAGTAATTGGCATTTTCACAAATCCTGTAGCTGATTTGATTCTGGGGCAATAGCTTTAGTGAGGGTAGAAATAACTCAGCCTGTATGCTGGCTTTGGGGTGGGAGGGCTAGTGAGGTCCTGAGTGTATGTATAAAGGGAGAAGAAGTAGGGATTAGGTGGCCCCAGTAGTAGTGTCTTTTGAAGCGAATGATTAAAGGACCTGATTTATCATAGATTCAGATTCAGATTTATTATATTTACATATTTATTGCTTAAAGTTATTTCAGGGTTTCAACCAAGTTACTAGAAGCAGTTTTTACTAAGTTGAATTTTGTCCTTGGATAGCTAAACTCTTTTCCCCAAGCTAAATTAATAAAATGGAATTTCTTATTAAGAATGAATTATTAAGTAAAGTGGAAGCACTGGCTAGGAAAGCAATTGATGCAGTTTGTTTTCAAAGCCTTAAAAGTGCTGCAATGTGCATAGATCACAAAGACTGGCTTAAGTGCCAACACATGGGGCATTAATTTTCTTTCATGGAGGATTCCAGGTTCACAGGAGCTCAGAAATGCTGACTTGGCAGTGAAATCCCATTTGTAACATGTTAGATTAGGAAACAGATTGATTTATATGTTGATGTAATGGATCAAGGCACAGTCTGTGCCTAAGAAAATGGAAAGCACATTAAATAAGAGCATTTTCAAAGGAGTCTAAATGTTATAGAAAAAGTCACCCTATCATACACTAGGTAAGGATGGGGTGTGTTTGATTAGTTGATTCCTAGACATGGTCCGCAGAGGCTTTTTATATTTCAGATGATACTTTCTTGAGAGTCTCTCATAACCACAAGGATTAATCTTTCTGAACTCAGAAGTGAATCACTATAGCTTATTAGCTGTCTGGATTGATTCCAGTTACTCTCCTTTTTCTTGGTGGTAACTGATGTGAGGATATGTTGCTGCTTATCTCTTCTTCCTGTTGCTTTAACCTCTGGTATTTTAGATTCTCTTTAGAGATGATAATGCTGACCATTTCAGTGCAGAGATCAAATGCTCTTACTACTGATGTATTGACCTCCGTGGTTGACTCATAAACTGAACATTTATACTGTTGGAACTCTTGTGGTCTTATAGCCAACAACCATAATGAGTAACATGTGGAACATAATCTTTGGTGCTGATGAATGGCTGCCTGCACTAAATTTGACTACTTCAGGACTCTGGCTTGGGTGAGCTCATATAACAAATTGACACTTGTTTCTTACCTGTATCAGTTTTAGAATTTAAGGTATAGATGTTCTCTGCATTCCCCTCTATTATTTTTGGGGATTGACTGGGGATTAGACTCAGCCACTGAACCACTGAGCCACATCCCCAGCCTCATTTTGTATTTTATTTAGAGACAGGGTCTCACAGAGTTGCTTAGCGCCTTGCTTTTGCTGAGTTGGCTTTAAACTCAGAATCCTCCTGCCTCAGCCTCCTGAGCTGATGGGATTATAGGTATGTGCCACCACACCTGGTCCTCTGTTACTCTACTACAAATTCTATTCAGGAACTGTGTTGTTTAATGTTGAAAGTATACAAAGCCATAGAGAGAATTTAGGAAACACTGCCTAAAATCTTTTGCTAGTTTATTTGTAGTAAATTTAGGAAACATATCCTTCTGACCTTTCGTTTGACTTTCTCATATATATCCAGGTTTCTAGCCACAATTCTTAGTTATGGATCACAAAAGAAGAGCCTTCTCTCCTTTTTGTCATTCTGTTGGGGTGAAATGCAGGGCCTCCCTCATGCTAAGCAAGCTCTCTATGACTGAGCTACACTCTAAGCCCAAAAGAAGCCCTTCCTTTTGGTTCACATCTTGAACTTCATTTTAAGAATTAAACACATTTGTCTTGTGCATCCTCTGTACCTTTTAATGATTTGTTTACCTTAAACACATTGTTTGAATTTATAGTATTTCCTATAATTAAGTATGTGTTACTTTCTTTAAATAGCTTTATTTTTTTTCCTTCTTTCAAGGAAGCAGGAATTCACATCAGTCTGTAAGCTTCATATGCAGTTTTACTGAAGGCATAGAACCTAGGGTCTTCTCTTTTAATAAATGATTGTTGATCACAGCAGGACTACAATCAGTTTAATTAATAAGGGTGCTAATTGTTTGTTGGATTTAATTGCAGTGTTTTCCAACCTTGATAGATCTTGACAACATTTTAATTCCAAATTAGCTTTCTCTGACTGATCTAACAGATATTTGTGTTTCCTTCTCCTCAGTGGAAAGGAGGTTGATTTTAATAAGCTCTGTTCTATTTTATTAGCAATTGTTGCTTATTTCGTACTATACCTAATTTATAAATTAAACTTTATCATAGGTGTGTGTGTATGCATACAAAGAATATTATTCATCTGCTCGTAGAACACATCCCTGCTGTAATAATAGATGCACTCCTGGGCTGGGGATGTGGCTCAAGCGGTAGCGCGCTCACCTGGCATGCGTGTGGCCCGGGTTCGATCCTCAGCACCACGTACAAACATAAAAGAATGGAAGCAGGGCTGGGGATATACATCAGTTGGGTGCCTGCCTTGCGTGTATGAGGCTCTGAGTTCGATCCTCAGCACCACATAAAAATAAAACAATAAAGGTTTTTATAAAAAAAAAAAAAATAGATGCACTCCTGTGCTTGTTTCTTTGCAGGAGGCTTACCACCATAATTCCTAAATGGTATTTCCTGTCTGTAATTTCTGAGATTATTAATAGTTAATATCTGATCACAAAACAAGAGGCTACTGACCAAAGACTTTATGGAATATTTGATTATTGTTGGATAAAAATAGTTCATGGAATCCCTTTTGTTTTAAAATAGTTGATCTTCCTGCCTGCCTGCCTGCAGTGTTAGTGATTTAACCCAAGGCCTCTCTACCACTGAGATACATCCCCAGCCTTTTTTTTTTTTTTTTTTTAATTCCTTCGAAATAGGTCTTGTTAAGTTGCAAAGGCTGGGCTTGATCTTGTGACTCTTCTGCCTCATCCTCTTTAGTTGCTGGAATCTACAGACATGTAATGAAGAATGGATTAAAAGGAAATAAGAATGTATGTAAGCAGGGAAATGCCTCAGGAAGTCAGAGGTGCACAGTCCAAAGAAGGAGAATGGTAGGTTGGGTCAACTTAGCTAAGATAGGTCTTTCTGTGTTGCCCAAGTTGGCCTCAAACTACTGGGCTTGTGCAGTCCTTCTGCCTCAACTTCCTAAGTAACTTGAGCAGTAGACACAAATTTTTCCTAGCTCAGGAATTCTCTTTTGGTATTGTTTCCATGAATGATGCCACCACATATTGAGTAATGCAGACTATGGTAGTTGGTTTTGCATCACTGTAATAAGATACCTGAGATAATCAAACTAAAAAGAGGAAAGGATTATTTTGGCTCAGTTTAGAGATTTCAGAGCATGGTTAGTTGGGCCCTGTTCTTTTGGGCCTGTGGCATGGTAGAACTGCATGGCCGAAGAAATTGTTCACCTCATGGTGGCTGGGATACCAGTGTCTTTTTAAGGGCGTGCCCCCAGTGACCTAGCTTCCTCCCACTAGGCCCCACCTCCTAAAGGTTCCACCACTTTGCAGTAACAGTACATGCTGGCCACTAAACTTTCTATATGTAGGCCTTTTACGGGACCATGGAGATCTAAATAGTGACACAAGCCAAATTTTACATCTTCCTCTTCCTCCATATTTAATCTATCTTCAGGACTTACTTATTTTCTTTTTGTCCTTCTCTAGAATCTCTGTGCTTACTTTAGCCCAAGCTACCATCATCCTTTTGTACTGTGCACCTCTGACTTTCTGAGGTATTTCATCATTCTTCATATTGCATCCAGGAAAAGCAACAGAGTTACATATTGAAAGTAGTAACTTTGTGCTTAAAATCTCTCAACACTTCTAGTGAAGTAGATAAATTCTTGGGCTGGGGTTGTACCTCAGTGATAGAGAGCTTGTCTAGCACATTTGAGGCACTGGGTCTTATCCTCAGCACCATATAAAAATAAATAAATTAAATAAGGGTATCATGTTCATCTGTAACTAAAAAAATTTTTTTTAAAAGACTGAATTTTTTTCCATCTACAGATTGTCTAGAAATATTTCTGCATTCCACTCTACCTTTTCTCTACCTCATGGTCTACATTTTCTCCATGGGAGATGCTCAAAGTTCTGCTTAAGCCTCACTTTTTTTTTTTCCAGGAAGATTCTTTGATCATCTTTCTACTGAAGATTGGGTCAGATACCTTTTTATTATTTTAAATTTTTTTGTAGTTGTAGATGGACAGAATGCCTGTATTTATTTTTATGTAGTGCTAAGGATCAAACCGAGTGCCTCACACATGCTAGGCTAGCACTCTGCCATTGAGATGACCTTTTTGTATATTTTCTGAGCACTCTTCACTTTTCCTTCTTAGAACTGGGAATGTAATCACACATTTTTGTGTAAATTTTGACTTCGTGTATTACATCAGAAACTGAGAGAGTGGGGCCATGACTTCTTGCTTATCCTTGTGTGCTAAGCATTAAGCACATTGCCTTCAAAATAATTGCTCAATAAAATTTTTATTGTTGTATTGTGAATTAAGTAAAATCACTGGAACTTGAGCCGTTCCTCTATTTTTGTGACTTATTATATTGAAGAAGTGAATAGATTTGCTTGTAGTAGGGCAGATACAGTCAGGTTTCTTAGGTTACAAGTATCCCAGGTTGAAACTGGGGTCTGGATTTCTAATTGACCTTTTTCTTTAGCCAAAGATGTCCAGAGGTCATTTTAAAATTCTGGATCTCCTCCTGTGGAAAGGGTTTGTATATGAAGATAAAAATAGTAAATAACAAAGTTTATCAAAAGATCAGTTTTGTCACAAACCACTGAATGACTGTGCTGCCACCCTCTTTGGAGTAAACCTGGACTTTCCCCCCACCCTACTCTTTGGTAGGCTCTTGCAGCCAATGCTGGAACAGGATTTGCTGTTGCAGAGCCACAGATTGCAATGTTCTGTGGGAAGTTAAATATGCATGTGAACATCCAGACTGGGAAATGGGAACCTGACCCAACAGGCACCAAAAGCTGCTTTGGAACAAAAGAAGAAGTTCTTCAGTACTGTCAGGAGGTAAGATTGTTGCCAGGCAGTTAAAACTTACCCCACCCCTGGGGTCAGGATTGAATTTGTTTACCTTGGAAATAGATATGATGCCAATAACTGGAGCCCAGGCCTTTTGCTTCTAAATGTCTGGTATGACTGAGGTCTCTCAAAGGCTTTGCCTGTGTGTGCTGTGAGGTCTCAGTTCTTTCCAGAAGGAATACTCCAGAAACTTGGCAAGTGCTATAGAAGCAGAGCGTGTTACTTTTGTCTTCCTACCAGTCTTGGGAAAATGGAAAGCAAAATATCGTGTGTTATGTCTGCTTGTTTTCTCCTTGCTAATAGAAAGTCACCAGTATTGTAATTGATCATCTCATATCTGAGTCAGCTTCCCTTTTGGTCCAAAGCGAAAAGGTTGTTCAAAGAAAATGAGATGCTTTAACTTACCAAGGCCAACATATAGAGCCAGGAATGAAATTTTGTTCTGTAATTTATCAGATACTTCCATAGACTTGCCTTACCTAAAGAGGTTCATGAACTCAGTGATTTACTCATGCCCTGTAGAGGAACTGATATCCAGTTGGATTTGTTTTGGGATGAAAGCCTGCTGCTTTTGTTTGTCCTTAAATACAGATTCCTTTTTAAAAGAGAATGCATAGGAGCAGTCAGAAATGTAACCTGTCAAAGGAAAACTAATAGTTTATGTCTTTTTTTACTTGGTGACTTTAGTTGGAACCACAGGGGTGGTGGAGTGAAACTTCAGATTTATGTAGGATAAGATTAGAGCCTGAGTAAACTTAAATACTTATCCTAACTTGAAAGTGCATGTCCATCTGCAGGTCAATTTATTGTATGTGCATGTTTTTGTTTTGTGTTTTTGTGTTTGTTTTTTTCCTTAACAGATGTATCCAGAACTGAAGATCACAAATGTGATGGAAGCAAACCAGCCTGTCAGTATTGACAATTGGTGCCGGAGGGACAAAAAACAGTGCAAGAATCACATTGTTATACCTTTCAAGTGTCTTGGTAAGTGTTTTGAGTTACTTTTAACTTCTCCCTCATCTTTAAATTTAACTTTTTCTAGACATAACAGTGAAGTATCTGCATCTGTTAAGATGAACTTACGAGGGAATTTATCCTTTGGATAGGCAGCCCTTTCCTATGTTGGTGGTTGACTTCTCAATGATTACTAACTGCCTTTTCCGTTGTAGGTGTTCTCAGTGTCTAGAATAAGAGTACTGCCCAAGAGCAGTTCAGCTTTCCCCTCACATTAACAGTTTGAAATTAGTGTTTTACAATGATAGTAGAGAGGGGTGATAGTAGAAAGTAGCCCAAGGAAAAGATTCTTTGTCTCCCTTACTTGAACTGCATTTGTACTGTTAGACTAGACTTCTGGTAGTGTTCGGGAGAAGGAAAAGTGTCTCATGGTAAGTAACAGGTGCCAGGGCCAGATGCTGTGGAACCCACCATTCTGGTTTGGGGCTTACTGAGGTGTTTATGACTCCATTGATGGCATTAGCATTTGGACCCAACTTAAATAAAGCTGTGATAGTATATTATTCAGCAACAGTGTTAGTAGTCATCCTAACCATTCCTCATCTGACACATTCCATATTTGGTCATAGATGATTAAAGGGACAAAAAATGGGTTTAAATGATTCATGATACTCGTGTGTGTGTGTGTGTGTGTGTGTGTGTGTGTGTGTGTGTGTGTTTTCCTGGGAATTGAACCCAGGGCCTTGTGCAGGGGAGGCAAGCACTCCACCGATTGAGCTATATCTACAGCCCAGATCCATGATAATCTTAACATAAATTTGGCATCAACAGTGACATCCTGAGGAGTTTTCTCTAGATACACCTATTTTGAGCTGTCAGTTAAACTTATTTCCCTCCCTCTCTTTAAAACATTTCCTTAAACTGCAGACAGCAGCACAGTAGAATGCTATTTTTCTTTGCCTAACATCGAGCAAGCAAATAATAGGAAGAATCAGTACTTGAAGGAACAGTATTTAAAATTACTGAGCAATTAACTTAGTTTTAAGAGCACTCAGTAGGGGGAAAGAGGGACAGTGTGCATGCTTTAACATTTACTTTAAAACTGAGCATCTTACAGTAGTGTGAAACTTGTCAAAATTTTTGTATGAAGCATTTTAAGGATATTCTTTCCTTTCATTTGACTCTGGGAAATCTCTGCCTATGAGGTTTCATTCATCATCTGTAACATTTTCAACTAAAAGTGAAACATGATAAACATAAATGTGTGTGTGTATATGTGTGTTGCCATGCTGAATATTGTACCCTGGGCCTTATGCATTCTGGGCAAGCACTCGACCTCTAAGCTACATCCCCAGGCTAAGAGATTATTTTTGAATATTTGTGGACAATAAATAGAAAGTACTTAAAATTATTTCTTTTGCATCCTTACCCCTAAAGATTTTGCATTCTAATCTTCCTATTTGTTCTTGTTACTTGCCAGCTTTACTGTACAGGTAGACTTCCAAGTGAACCTGGAACCTATGATTCTTCTATTATTATTTATCTCCCCATATCCATTTCAGTTTTCTTTTCTTTTTTTTTAAACCATGGATTAAATACAGGGCCACTTAACCACTGAACCACATCCCCGGCCTTTTGAGACAGTATCTCACTAGGTTGTTTACAACCTTACTCAGTTGCTGAAGCTGGTTTTGAACCACTGATCCTCCTGCCTCAGCCTCCTGAACTGCTGGGATTATCAGCCACCATGCCCGTCCTATTTCAGTTTTCAAGTCAGCTTGATTTTTACCTCTTATATATGGCTTAAATCCATGATTCCCAAACTGCTCCGAGGCACCCCAGGATTTGCAAGAAACTAAAAAGGACATATTTTATTTGCATGGGAAACGTGACATATGCCAGATGTTCTTCATACTGTTATCTGGAGGTAGTTTTATTTCAACATTATTTATCTTGTGAAAACTTCATGTCTTTATGAAGCTGTGTTTTCAGTGGTTCCTGTGGAAAAAAGCAAGCATACCAGTAAAATCACTTTAGAAGAAGAAACAAGGGCCATGATATTCAGTCTGATTGCAGTGTGGAGGGAGTTGTGCAGTGCCCAAAATGCACTTAATGGTTGGACACAGATACTTATTTAGTTTGTTTTTTTGACCTAACTACTTACCTTTAATGTGTTTTTTAGTTGTAGATGGATACACAATACCTTCATTAATTATTTTTTGAATGTGGTTCTGAGACTCAAACCCAGTGCCTCACACATGCAAGGCAAGCATTCTACCACGGAGCTATAGGCCCAACCCCTCTTTAAATATTTTTTTGGCCTAGAAGTGTTATGAAAAAAATGAGATATTTGGGGTGCTGTGAGTTGAGGAAATTTGTAAATTTCTGGATTATGTCCTCCATCAGATTCTCACTGTGCTAACTCAGGCTTTGGTCACTTCTTGTCTCCATCATGACAGCAGCCTCCACATATTTCTTTGTTCTGTTGTCCAGTCTGTTGCCCTTATGGTGATCTAAAGTGAAAATAAAGTTATGTCTCTCTTGTATGTAAAACTCTTTAGCATCTCTTCTTTACCTAAAATAATTTTGAAATTTCTTAGTATGACTTTAAAACTCCATAATCTGTTGGGCACAGTGGTGTATATCTATAAATCCAGCTACTTAGGAAGGTGAGAGAGGAGGATCATAAGTTCAAGACCACCTTGAGCAAGTTAGTGAGACCCTGTCTCAAAAGGAAAAGGGCTGGAGGTGTAGCTCAGTGTTAGAGTAACCATACCTGAGGCCCTGGATTCATTTCTTAGTACAAAATAAAAATAAAAATCACCTTCCATAATTTGCTGAACCTTGACTTTAACCCTGTCTTGATATCTACCACTTCTTGTTCCATGCTTTATTTAGTGTATGCATTTTGAGAGGAATGTCACAGAATTTTATGACATTGTATTTATTATCAGTTGTGTGATGTCAATTTGTTGTGTTATTCTTGATCATGTTTATCTGCTGGCTAAGATGCTGTTTTGGTTTGGATATGAGATGCTTTGTTAATGCAATCAAGTGATTGGATTATGAGAGTCTGTCCTAGTTTGAATGGACCGACTGGGTGGGTAACCATAGGCTGGTGGGACATGGCTGAAGGGACTATGTTACTGGGCTTGTGCCCCCTTCTGTCTCCTCTGCTTCCTGGCTACCATGAGGGAAGCAGCTTCCCTTCATCACACACTTCCCATGATATGCTGCCTCATTTTGGACTGAGACCTCTGAAACTGTAAGCCCCAAATAAACTTTCCCTCTAACTATTTTTTTGTAGGATACTTTGGTCATAGGGATGCAAAAACTTAACTAAAACAGATGATTTTTAGATTTCAGTTATTTTATATATATACATTTTCCAGATTTGATCGTGGAAACCATTTTATGCTGTTTTCCTGTATCTTTTTAACATATCCCTGTCTTTCTTTGAGGGCTTACTTGCCTGGTATTCTCTAAGTGCATTCTGAATTTTCCCTTGCCCATGCCTGGAGTAAGCTATTTCTTCTTTGATTTCTTAATGGGACTGGTAGCAGTGTTCAGGATTTGGGGTCCTGGGGATCTGGGCATTAGGAATGCTTACTGCCGCCAAGGGTGTTGTTGCTTCTAGGCATACTCAATAAACGAAGCTAAGAAATATATGTATGTATTACATGTCCAGATGTACAAAAATCTACATTGCCTTATCGACCTGTTAGTGCATATTAAAACCAGTGAGCTGGATGCTATGGTGCACGCGTATAATCCTACTATAAAGCAGTTGGGGAGGTTGAGACGAGGATTGTGAGTTTGAAGCCAGCCTCAGCAAAAAAAGCAAGGCACTAAGTAACTTAATGAGACCCAGTCTCTAAATAAAATACAAAAAGGGCTGGGGATGAGGCTCAGTGGTCCGGTGTCCTTGAGTTCAATCCCTGGGAACTACCCCCTGCCCCTCCCTGTCCTTCAAAACAAAACAAACTAACAACAACAACAACAACAAAAAAGGCTTCAAAGTGATAGCTCAAATTCCTGTATCCTCAGTATATTTTCTTCTTTGCCTGCTATTCCCACAACCAAATCTTGGCTTTTTTAAAAATTGGGTTTTTTGAGGTATAATTCACATGCTATACAATTTACTCATTTAAAAGTATGCAGTTTGACTGGAGATGGTTGCACGTACTTATAATCCCATGACTCAGGAAGCAGAGGCAGGATCATTGAAAGTTCCAGGCTCTGTGAATGTAGCTCAGTGGTGAAGTGTCCCTGGATTCAGCCCCCCACCCCAAGTTTAAAAAAAAAAAAAAAAGAATGCTATATGTTGAAAGATTCGAGATTGCAATAGGGTAGTTGGCTTAAATCCTGAGATCTCCTTTAATATATTGCTGCCTAGCAAATCCAAAGCATAGGCCAGCCAGAGGAAGGGTGAAGAAATGGGGAACAGGGGAAAACAAGCTATGTATGTATTGATTGGGTGCCTTTATTAATTGATTTGGATATCACAGTGTTCTTACCTCTGTTTCTGGGCACTATTTTTGTTTGCTTGTTATTGTTTTTATTGGGTAGTATATTTCTTTTTTTCTTCTCTCTCTCTCTCTCTCTCTCTCTCTCTCTCTCTTTTTTATATCAGGGATTGAACCCAGGGTTGCTTAACAGCCCAGCCTTTTTTTATATCTTATTTAGAGATAAGTTCTTACTGAATTGCTTAAGGCCTCAGCCTCCCAAGCCTCTGGGATTACAGATGTGTGCCATTGAGCCTGACTGCTAGGTATTATCTTTATTACAGTTGATTAAGTTACTGACAGTATTCATAATAAGTCCAGGATTGGATTGTCTAAAGTTTTATGATGCTGCATGTCTATCAGTGTGGCTCTTTTAAATGTTGTATAGTAAGTTTGGTGAGAAGGAACAGTTGAATAATCTTCTCCTTCCTCAAAATGAACCTTGTATCTTACATTACTACTGCCTTCTGGTTATCTATTATATATATATACACACACACGTGCACATATACATACATACATACATACATACATACATACATGATAATAGTGACCCAAGTAGGACAGAGTAGGTGATGTGTGAAGAAGCAAAACTGACACCTGGGGATATAACTCAGTGGTAGAGCACTTGCTTACCTTGTATGAGGTCCTGAGTTCAATCCTCAGTACTTGGGGGTGGGAAAGAGAGTTTTATAAGTTCATGACTGATTTTGTCTTGGGTTATATTTGGATGGAGATTTGGACAGGGAATGTTACTGCACTGGGAAAACTACCAGAAAAATTCCCATTTAATAACTAAATCAAAACCAGTCTCAGAGGCTTTGAGATGCAGTCTTCAGCAGTTGTAGGTAGGTTGCAGTAACTTGTTTCATTGTAGGTGTTCCTTTGCAAGTCCTGTGGTCTTTGAATTCACAGTGGCCCCAAACATTATCTCTGTTGACAGTGTGGACTCTTGTGCAAGGTGAATGTTTCTGCTTGGATCCTTCAGTTCTTGGAGCACTCTTTACCTCAAAAGATATCTACCAAAGATGGCTCCTACTTATTGCTTTAGGCTGTTTTCTTCCACCTGGGCAGTATCCTCCAAGAGTTCCATAAATGTATTCCTTTCCAGCTGGAGAGTACTTTTGCTGTAGATTTATTTACACACGTGGATGTTAGTGTTGGGGGCTTTCCCAAGTAGATAAACAGCCTTTGTTTTTCTGAAAGGAATTTCAGCAACTCTGAAAAAGCTTTAAAACCTGGAAGGCTGCCATGCCCCTGCTGGAGTGAGGTGGCATGAAAGAAAAACTGAATCTCAGAGAGTGAATAGAGTGAAAAGAGGTTGGAGATTGTCACAACTGAAGCTGTAGGTTAGGTTTTGCTGTATTGCCTTATGCATTGAACAGCAAAAACAATATAGCTTTATGTTTGTGTAGTGGCTTAGAAAATAATAGCCATTATATTGTGCTCCAGCAGGTTAAACTGAAGATTGTTACCACAAACTTGCATATAAACTTTTAAAGTGATACCAAACCATTTTCAGTGTTATATAAAACTGACTGAATACTGATCTTTCTACATAAATTTTCCTCCCAGAAGCTTCTGATAAGCGGTTTTAACAAAGGCAGAAGTTGCAATAAATTGATAGAACGGATGCTGGGATTGAAATGTGTTTCCTCTTTTAGTTTACTTTTTAGAAGTTTGTTTTTCAACAAATGAAGTATGAGGTGTGGGGGTGGGGGCAAAAAGTCATTTCCATTTCTGAACTCGGTCAACCTGACTAACATTTTGGTGTGTAAGTGAAAATATTTTTCTTTGGATACATGTAGAAATGTATATGCTTTGAGATCCCCACCCCCAACTCCAAAATCAGGCACAGTGGTGCACAACTGTAATCACAGAAACTTTAGAATTTTGCATGGGAAAATCACAAGTTCAAGGCCAGCCTGAGCAACTGTAGTGAGACCTATCTCAAAACAAAACAACACAACACCCCCTCCCCATTTGTTTTTTTCTCAGTGGGATCATACTCTATATGTGCTGCTTTTTAAATTCAGATTTAATAAACATCTATTATGTGTTACATGCATCTTTGGGTAAGAAACAAACCTGGTCTTAGAAGTTAACCACCCTAGGGGCTGGAGATGTGGCTCAAGCGGTAGCGTGCTCGCCTGGCATGCATGCGGCCCGGGTTCGATCCTCAGCACCACATACAAACAAAGATGTTGTGTCCGCTGAAAAAACTAAAAAATAAATAAAATTCTCTCTCTCTCTCTCTCTCTCTTTCTCTCTCTCTAAAAAAAAAAAAAACAAGTTATGCTGCTTAAAAAAAAAAAACATTAAAAAAAAAAAGAAGTTAACCACCCTAAATGAGAGAACTTAGGGATATATGGGGTGTGTTTATTATTTTTGTTTAATGCTTTTAAAGATGATATAATGCTTTTAAACATATATATAGTAGTGAAATTGCTGTTTTAATTTTTTCAGTGTTGTAATTATCTGTATAAAACAAAAATAAAGTGCATTAACTATTGCTTCACTATAGATTGCTTTACAATTATGGCTGTATAGTTTACTTTGTGTAAAAGTAGTTGGGCAAGATTTTAAAATAACATTAACAATAGTTAAAACTTACAATTACATAGTAACTGATTGGTTTGGTTTTTGTTCTCAACTTTTTCCGTGTCAGAAAGATGAGGCCATTAATCCTTAGAATAAGAGATGGGAACTGAGGTACAGGCAGGTTAGATAATTTGCCTAAAATCACTCTACTGGTAAAGAACATTGCTGAGATTGAACCCTGGTGTTTAATCCTGTATACCCTGTCCCTTAAGTATATGCTTTTGTTGTTTTTTTTATCATAAATTAACAAGGCAAAAAATGCCTAGGTAATACAAAATTGTCAATTAAACAATGTTAGTTGATGATTGGATGTCAGAATTTAAGTAGTTAGATCGAATTGCATTTAGATTGAATATCAGAGTTGATTTTCCTAATAGATCTTTTTTTACCACTACTTTTTTTTTTTTTTGGTCATTTTTAAATGAAATGAAGTTGTATGTCCAATTGATTGGTAAAACTTGTATAATATAGGTACTGACTGCTCCAGAGCCTTCAGGGTCCTTGGAAGCAGCACTCTATCTAGCTTACCTTGGAATTCCTGATTTTATATCAAATGGGGCAATTTGACTCCAGAAGTCCATGTACTGGTAGTGCTATGAAAACGTGTGTAACACTGTTTTCATGCTGGGAAACTATTTTCTGTTCTAAGTTAAAACACAAGGAACCACATCCTTTCCCCTTTTAAGAGCAGCAACTCCCTTCTTGAATCAGCTGGATAATAGAAGGACTGACTTTACTTTTGTACCATTTTTAACTTTTTCTCCCCTTTATCGTAGATGTTAGCCTGCCTGCTTTTTTGTCCCATGTCCCTACAAAATGCAAAACACATATCCCTCCTTTTGTCTCTTTTCCTCTACTTAGATCCTTTATGGAGCATGTGGCTAATGAATCTGATTCACCTGGGAAGCAAATTACTGAGTTTACTCTTACACTACTGAATCAGAATTTAAGCAGTAATGCAGTGAGACAGACAGACACACACACACACACACACACACACACACACACCACTCAGCATTTTATTATGGAAAATTACAAACATATTCAAACAGGGATAGTAGTATTGTAAACCCACATTGCCCGGCTATATAATGGTCATCAGTTCAGGAGCCAGGATCACTTTATCTATGCTCTTGCCTCTCACCCCTGCTTATCTGGGTGATAACACCCCCACCACCCCCAAAATGTAGAATTAAAGAAAAAATATAATAGTGAATACCTTTATGCTCTTTACCTGGATTCTCCAATTTTGCCTAATTTATTTGTGTGTGTATGGGGGTACTTTTTGGTTGCTCAACCATTTGAAAATAAGCTGGGACATCCTAAAAGTTCACTTCTAAATGCTTTACTTTGTGTTTCCTAAGACCAAGGACATTCTCCTTTGTAATGATAATATATTTACTACACTTTGGAAGTTTCTGTAAGTATTCAAATAATGCCCTTTTATAGCCTCTTTTATTTTATTTTATTTTATTTTTTATTTTTATTTTTTTTGTGTGTGTGTGTGGTCTTAGGGATTGAACACAGGGCATTGTGCATGCAAGGTGAGCACTCTCCCAATGGAGCTATATCCCCAGCTATATCCCCAGCCCTTTATAGCCTCTTTTAAAAGAAAAATCACACATTACATTTGATCTAGAACAGCTCCTCAGTCTTTATGTTTATAAATATTTAATGACAGTGACATTTTTTGAATCCAAGCCATTTGTTTAACAGAATATTCCAGAATTTGGATTTGTCTTACTATTTTATCGTGAACATATTCAAGTGGTATGTTTTGGTAGGTGATATTTTCTTCTCAGGATATCACCCATGTCAACTTGTCTGTTATTAATGATATTTAGTTGATCACCTTGTTAAGGTAGTTTTGCTAGGATTTCCCATTGTAAAGGTACCTTTACCTCTTTATAATTAAACATCCTTTGATAATTTTTACTTTAATCAACTTGTCTAGTATAAGGTTCATCTATACTTCAATATTAGTTTCTGGGGCATTTTGTGATTAGAGGAGATATGGGCCAAATTAGGAAAGTAAGAAGCTAGGAATATTGGTCAGTGGGAGTGGCTGTATATATATTTGAGATGGTCATGAAGGGGGATCCTATTCATGTCCCCTTGTCATGTCTTGCTAAAAGCCTTCAATGGGACTTTGAGGGAGTGTGGTTAGGGAAACATGAGGAAAGCTGCTGGCATTGTGGCCCTGATGCATTGATGATTTCTTGTGCTCACACCTGCTTTTGAGCATAAGCGACTGCTCCTGTAAACACCTGACTATGTAGCTGTCATTAGTCTGGCATGTAAGTCCTTTCTGCCTTGAATCATAATCAGATTTGCCTCTGACAAAGGTTCCTTTTTTTTTTTTTTCCCCAGTGGGTGAATTTGTAAGTGATGTTCTGCTAGTTCCAGAAAAGTGCCAGTTTTTTCACAAAGAACGGATGGAGGTGTGTGAGAATCACCAGCACTGGCACACAGTAGTCAAAGAGGTAAGTGAGTGGATGGGGAAAAGTAAAGCATTGTACCTGTTAGAAGAGAAAGTAATATTGGTGTCCAAAACCTCATCATGCCTTTCAGTTATTTTTTTTAATTACTTATATCTTCTATATTAAAAATACATGGGAGAGGCATAGATGTTTTTGTAAGAAAGTACAGCTTAGATTGTCCGACTTCTAAAATTCAAGCTATTATAGGGCTAGAGATGTGGCTTAGTTGTAGAGTATTCATCGCACCCTGGATTCTATCCCCAGCATCAAAAAAAAAAAAAAAAAAAAGAAAATAGTGAAGTTTCTCTCTTCATTTGAGCTGGGTGTAGCTTATTAATACAGCACTTGCCTAGTAGGCATGAAGTTTGATTCCTAGCACACACACAGAAGAGATTAAAAGGCTGTTAGGCAGGGGTTGTACATGCTTTCAGCAGGCCTTCTCTGAAGGCATCCTAACCCTCTCTACTAAGGACTATGTGGAAATACGGAATATAAACCTCAGAATTGGTTGCCATTTCTCTGTTCTACTGGAGAGAAACACTTATTCTGGTCATTTGTAGTTTGATTGATTCTTCAGTCAATAGTCTTTTCTTTATTCAAATTCTGAAGTAGTATCTATACCAGTGATAGTAAAAATTAGCATTAGTCATCTTTAATGAGTGTTGATAATCATTAGAAGAAACTCCCACTTTCTTAAATTTTTTTTTCAAATTTGGACTTTTAGTTGTTTTGGCTCATCTGATGCTATAAGTTGTCTATAATTTTTTTTTTTTTTTTGGAGGAACTGAATTAAAGGCCTCACATATACGAAGCAAGTGCTTAACCACTGAGCTTTTTATTTTTAAGATGATATTGTTAAGTTTATAGGCAGTCCTCGAATTTGTGATCCTTTTGCCTCAGTCTTCCAAGTAGCTGGGATTATAGGCATGCATATGCCCAGTTAATAAATCTTATAGCATCACAACTTTTTGGCTGGTAAGTTGTGTGTAAGAGAAAGCATTACTTAGAGATTTGATAAGGGTTTCTTTGGGATAAAGACAGGTATCAGAAGTCTTTGTGGAATATGTTTTGATGTGGTCTGTGGTTTTCCTTTAGGCATGTCTGACTCAGGGAATGACCTTATATAGCTATGGCATGCTGCTGCCCTGTGGAGTAGACCAGTTCCATGGCACCGAATATGTGTGTTGCCCTCAGACAAAGGTTATTGACTCTGTAGACTCTACTGTGTCAAAAGAAGAAGAAGAAGAGGAAGAGGAGGAAGATGAAGAGGAAGACTATGATATTTATAAAAGGTAAATTCTTGTCCTGAGCTCTGAAATAATTTAGCACTTCTGTAATAATGGCTGTTGGCTGCTAGTTCCTCACTTTTGGGTAAGGTGGGCATACCCTTGTAATGCTAGAATTGATTCAACCTGCATTTCATTCTGATTGAAGCTGATCATACACACACCTGTAACTTTTGGCTTTTTATTGTTGTGGGCCACGTTATTTACTGCAGGTTAATGTAGTCTATGTTCACTAACTCTTCCCTTTTGCTGATGTAGCTAGGCTGAGGGCTTTCATGGCATAGTTACATATAAGTTGAGCTTATTTCCTGTCTCTCTTTTTGTGTTTGAGAATAGGGAAAGGAATCATTGTGCTTTGTGTGTAGAATTGATATTAACCTCCCTTTATTTTTATTGTGGCCTTTAGTGAATTTCCCACTGAAACAGATTTGGAAGACTTCACAGAAGCAGCTGTGGACGAGGAGGATGAGGAAGGGGAGGAAGTGGTAGAAGACCGTGATTACTACTATGACACCTTTAAAGGAGATGACTACAATGAAGAGAACCCAACTGAACCCAGCAGCGAGGGAGCTATTTCAGACAAAGAAATTGCTCATGATGTTAAAGGTAACCAAGTTTAAAGCTCTGGCTTTAAAATCCATGTGATCATTGTTTAATGGTGAAGGCATACAGATTCTAAGTAATCAGGTAAGTCTCAGAAGGAAAGGTGGTGTTTCTGCGCTGAAGGGGAATTCTGCTTTTCTGTGTAGTGGTAGAGCGGTGAAGTGATGTTAGCAGTAAGCAGGCATGCATGACCAGGAAGAGATATGGGGTTGACTCAGAAACAGAGTTTGCTTTGTAAGAGTTTAGAAAATAAAAGGCAATATCGTCTTTTTGTTAGCAGGATTATTCCACATCTATCCTTCTCCTCTCAAGTCTTAACTTTTAGGATGGAATAGCTTGCTGGGTTTTTCTTTCACTAAGTATATTCTAATCTGTAGGCTGCTCCATCTGTTCAGGTATCTGTAGCTGGTAGGTTGAAATTGAATGATCTTGTCAACTAAAACAAAGAAAAGGTTGTGATAGTTCCAGAGAGCACATGGCCTCTGCTCATTGTGTATTTGAACCCAGTTAGGATCTGAAGAATTTTAAAACCCAACTGGGAGAAAATTAATTGGTCTAGAAATTTATGATTCATCTTGGAGAATATGAAAATAGAAACACTTGTCCTTTGTAGGCACTTCAGTGTTTGCTGTGGGTATCACCACTTAAAATAACCTTTCTGCCTGCATTGACTCCTTTGGGTCCTTGAAACCGCTAAAATAGATAAACCAGGATCTATTTCCATTGAACAGATTAAAAAAAAAAATGAGAGACTCATGAGGCTATGAGAGACTCCTCTTTGTTAACCTGTGTGTCAATCTAGTCTCAGATGGTGCAAAAAAAGTGTTTTGTTTTTAATTTTAATTTTTTTAAAATCTCCATTCCCCTATGTTTTTGTCACATGGAAAGTGACTTCATCCACAGAACCCTTGACCTTTGTTGGTGATTTAGGTCAGCCAGGGCCTTAATTTCCTGTGTGGTCTCCCATTACCAACACCTGGTTTTATCGTGGCCGGCCTGTAGCATTTTGAAGCATTTGAAGCACTGCCTCTGCTCTGCTGATACTCTGACCATTTTCACACAGCTGTCTGCTCCCAGGAGGCGATGACGGGGCCTTGCCGGGCTGTGATGCCTCGTTGGTACTTCGACCTCTCCAAGGGAAAGTGCGTGCACTTTATATATGGCGGCTGCGGCGGCAACAGGAACAATTTTGAGTCTGAGGATTATTGTATGGCTGTGTGTAAAGCGATGAGTAAGTCCCGCCTTGCGCTGGCCCTGTGCAGCAGCGCTGTCCTGTCCAGCGTTCTGTCTCTCCCGGCCGTCCTCGTGGCTGCATCTGTGACATGTTTCCGCCGACTCAGGTGTTTGCTGTCAGTCGTTTTCCCCTCATCTTTGTGCTTCCTAGACTGAGGCTTTGCTTTCCTGTTGGCAGTAGTAAGCTCAGTTTTCCATGTCCTGTGCCCCCCTTGTGTCTGCTGGACGTTTAGTGGTGGTGGTGGTGGTAGTGTTGTGTGCCTTCCCTGGCGTAGTGGGTGGCCACAGCCAGGGGCTTGTTTTTTCTCATCCAGACTTGGAGTCTATAAGTGCTGAGGGTGCTCTGGTATTGGTTGGGAAGCATTCATGATTGAAAGGCACCAAAGGGTAACTGAATAGTCCTGAGTTCTGTCCATGATTGTATTCTAAGTTTTGCCTCATTTGGCGGGGGGAGACTGGGGATTGAACCCAGGGGTGCTTAATCACTGAGCCGTATCCCCAGCCCTTTTTTTATATGTTAAGAGACAGGGTCTCATTGAGTTATTAGGGCCTCACTGAGTTGCTGAGGCTGGCTTTGAACTTGAGAGCCTCCTGCTTCAGCCTCTCAAGCAGCTGGGATTTCAGGTGTGCACCACTGCACCCAGCCTGAGTTTTGCCTCAGTTTTGCTTCTTAATCTCATCTTTGAACTACTCTGTTACCGAACCCTGTGATGCCACCTGATGGAATGCCCACTTTTAAAAAGACCAACAATATTTTAGGGATTCCATAATACCGAAAATACCTTGCATTATTTACTCTAAGGATAGAGCTTTGTAGCCGAGTACTATTTCTTTAATATATTGGAAACCTGGGGTCATGCAGGGCTTTAGGAAATGAGGAGATTTTAGTTTGTGTTTTTTTTGGTCTCAGAGAAACTACTACTCAGTGCAATAGTTCAATTGAGTTGGATTTATGTTAGGCACAGGTAGGAAGAGTTTTTCTTGTCAAGCCCTTCTTAACCTGGTGATACCTATCCATGTGCTGGGAAAATCCTCAAGCCAGGCAGTTTTTTTTCGTTCCTACTCTGGAATTCATCAGGATGACTTGCTGCCTGTTCCTGGTATTTGCTCTAGAGGTCCCGGTGGGGATGTAGTTTCTGATGGTTTTTCATTTCATTCAGATACCTTCATGCTCCCTCTTTTTTCTTTCTCATAAAGAGTTTTAAAATCTTTATTGAATTCAGCATGCTTTCAGAGCTTCTACTCTGAAAGTTGCTGTACTTGGAAAAGACTGTTATTTCAATCAGTTAAAAAGGTGAAAGAGAGTGAGCTTTAGTAACTTTGGTACAAAAACTTTATCAAGGAAAGATTTAGTGATAAAAATTATTGCTTTGCAAAACTATTCAAACTAAGAATCAATACAATTTCCGTAATTGGGGCCCTTTAAAGATCTCACAGAATACAGAGGTGGCAACCTCTATCCAAAGGCTCAAATAAATAGTCTTCTGAGATACCTTGGAATGGAAGGTCTGTGAAATCCGTGTGGCTTTGGGGAAATTGCAGAGGAGAAAATTCTGTTTGTGTCCTAGGGGGAGGGTTTGATGGCTGGAGGGCTTTGAAGGTCTAGAGCATCAGGTTTCTAGTGGTTATGTTTATGTCTGAGGCAAGTTGATGTGCTAGCTTCATGAATTGTAGTGATTTTGCTCTGAGCCCTTTGTGTCTTTAGAAGTAAACCTCTAGACATGCTGTCTTTTTCCCCTTTTGTTCCCATGGAGGGTGGAGGCACACTGTGTTTTGCATTATGTGTATTCTCCCCAGTGATAGAAACCATCCTCAACTCATGAGCCTGCAGACATGTGTCCCTGATAATGATATGCATTTAGCACAAAGGACTTGAATTCTCCTTCACTGAATTTTTTAGTTCCTTGGAGAATGTGATCTGTCTGCTCTTTAAACTTATTTGGGACTCAGATATTCTTCACATGATTTTATTCTAGGTTTATTAAAGGGAGCAAAGAAGATTCTTCTGATGGAAAAACTTCGGAGTGACTGGCTAATCTGTAGTAATATTTTTATTAGTCACATTATTTTTTTTAGTATTTATTTTTTAGTTGTAGTTGGACACAATATCTTTATTTTATTTTTATGTGGTGCTGAGGATCGAACCCAGGGCCTCACACATGCTCGGCAAGTGTTCTACTGCTGAGTCACAATCCAAGCCCTAGTCAGAATGATTAAAATGACACAGTTCTGGAAATTGGGTGAATTTGTTTCCAAGGTAAAAATTAGTTGTATTTTGGCATTTGTCATGATAAACAAGTTACACATTATTCCTCCCTGGTTTGGGAAATCTTGAATGAATTGGGCTAACACATAATTCCAGAGGTGTTTCTTAAGAAGTTAGCCAAGTGAACTTGCTCCCTTCTCAGTTCTTTCTCTTAGAGATTAAACTCCATTATACTTACACTTACTTGCCTGGTGCTAGTAAGAGATTATGTGTGAACAACAGTGAGGTGAGGAGTTGTCCATTCCAATGGGCTTATGTTTGGACAGATGCCCAGAAAGGCCCTTTGGTCAGTGTCATGAGTCCAATAAGACCAAGGTATCTTCACCTCCATGGAAGGTGTCCTTCTAAACTACAGAAACTTAGTTTTACTTTTACCTCAATTATCCCCTAATAATTGGGGATGGGTGTAAGAGTCCTTCAGTGATATTGAAAACTCAAAAATTATATCTAGAGTGAGTTGGGCTTTCTCTACCCAGTCTATATTTAAAGACTGTTTAGCCAGTTTCCCGAAGTAAGTTAGGATCTAAAGATTGCCAAAAGAGTAAAACTAAGTAAATTCCTCAAAAATGTATACATTTGTGGAAGTGCTTCTACAGGGTCTAATTTCATGCTGGTCCCTATTCAGACACCATTAGTTGATGATCAGTAAGGTGGCTGTTTTTTAAAAAATGGTTTTCAGGTTTCACATTATGAAGGGAAGACATAAAAGCAGCTTCTCTTTTTCTGCCCTGCAGTCCAGAGTGGATGCCTCATGAGTGACGAAAATACCAGGGGACTGAGCTACCAATAAATTGGTGAATTAGCATGGACTGACATGATTGATGAATATTGTGTAAAGAATATTGCCCACTGTAATCTAACAAAGTGAAGACTTGGCAGACAGTAGCACCCTGTACTTGTAGTAAGGCATGACACAAATTGAGTCCATCTTGCAGGTCCTGAGCTTGGTTTTCTTCCTAAAGCACTGTGCAGTTTTAACACTGCATCTGACTGATCCCTGACCCTCAAAGCAAACTCCTTCTGTAATTTTGTTTCAGTTCCTCCAACTCCTCTGCCAACCAATGATGTTGATGTATATTTTGAGACCTCTGCGGATGATAATGAGCATGCTCGCTTCCAGAAGGCTAAGGAACAATTGGAAATTCGGCACCGCAACCGAATGGACAGGGTAAACTTAGGCAATTCTGTTATTCTTCATGGTGCTTGGCAGTTAAGTAGCATGGGGGCTTGGGTTTTTTTTTGGGGGGGGGCTTGTTTTGTTTTCTTTATCTGAGAATTCAACTTCAGTCAAAGAAAGAGACACCATCTTTCTAGAATGTTGTGTAATGGGTAAGGAATAGTGAGGTTCCAGAGTATCAGGGGAACTCCCTGCTGGATGGGTGAGTCCTTGCCTACCCTGTCTCCATAAGGATATAGTTGCTGTATGACATGTTGCAGACACTGCAGAGCTCTTCCTGTAGCTATTACTCACTTGTTGCTTTTCTTTGCCATCACTGGCTTTAAATACCACTGCCTGTGGAAGGTTCTGAAGTCTCAGAGACTTTCGTTTCCTTAACAGCATTCTAAGTTCAGAGCAGTGAGAGCCCAGAGTATAGCTTCCTCCTGAATGCACTTAGTACTGAGAAGAGATTGACACAGGAAAATCTTGCTTGGCCTGAGCTCTCCCTCCAATACCTGTACCTCACCTGCATTGAGCATTACCATATAGGAAATGCTCATTATGTTCTCCATAGCAGTTCTGAGAAATAGGTATTAAACTCAATTTTTTTTAAATAACTTTTTATTTTGTGTGGTGCTGAGGACCGAAGCCAGTGCCCCACGCATGCCAGGTGAGTGCTCTGCCTCTGAACCCCAGCCCCAGCCCTAACCTCAATTTTTTAGGCAAGTAGACTAAGGCACAGAGACTTTTAAAGTAACTAATTGAAGGTTATATAACAAGGTGGTCATGGAATTGAGGCTCCATCTGGGGACAGTTGAGGCCTACAACCTTCTGAGGCAGCAGCAACCCTGAATTCTTAAGGGAGCACATGATGCAGTTTCCTTTTGCTCAGTTTCCGACACTAGATTCAGTGCCTGGCAGTATTTTTAGAAAATGGGGAAGTTGTTTCAGAGGATTGTTCTCTGGTGAAGTGTTTTTAACCTTTGTAGGTAAAGAAAGAGTGGGAAGAGGCAGAGCTTCAAGCCAAGAACCTCCCCAAGGCAGAGAGGCAGACCCTTATTCAGGTAAGATGCCTTCTCCAAGAATAAAGCATCCACCTACCAGTTAAAAATATGGTCAAAGCCAAACTCCTAGGAAATTTAAATTTGGCACCTCTTTTTATTCAGGGGCTTAAGTTACAAGGAAGTAACCTATTTTTCTCTTTTCACCTCTAGTATTACTCGCCTACAGTAGAAGGAAACCAAACCCCCTCCCAGAGTATACTTAATTCATGCCAGAAAGTAACCTCAGCTTAGTTGCCACTTGTTAATCTGCTTTCCTGGCAAAAGTTCTCTGTCATCTTTGTTCTTGGGCTATGACTTGTTTTTCAGCAGTACTGATTTATTGGCAGACTGAAAAGTCAAAAAGCAGAAAACAATGATATAAGTTCATCTCTAATTTTGTAAAAATACAGCCTTAAAATCATAGTAGTTAACTATATTCCCCTTCAATAAAAGAAAGTTGCTAGGAATAGGGACAGCAATTTATAGGACTGCTGTAGTTTTGGAAAACAAACATATATATATATATACACACACACACACACACACACACACACACTTTTTTTTTTTTTTTTTTTTTGCTGCAGGGGTGGCGGGGCAGGCACAGTGTGCTAGGGATTGAATTTAGGGCCTTACTTGAGCTAAACACACTCTGCCATTGAGCTATACCCTAGACTCTGACTACATTTTAAATTAGTTCATTTCTTACTAACTTTTTCTTCTTGTGATGTTAGTTCTTTTCTGGAAGACCTTTGCTTTCTTATCAATGACTTAGAAAAATCTTAAGAGTTACAAGCCAGTGCATCTTATGCAAGGAAATTAAATTCAGCAGCCTTAAATTGTACCTCTAAACCTGGCTAGATATCTCATAGATAACTTGCCCTTCACAACTTTAAGGCATGATTCAGCATAACTTACCACATTATTGTATTATGTTTGAAAGTATATTTACTACTGCTTGCCAATTTCAGGGTTTGGAAGTTAGTCCCTTGCTTAACATGGAAAAAACCATTGATTGATTGATTGATTGATTGATTGATTTAGGACTGAAAATTGGTGCAGCCATTTTTTTTTATTGGTTGTTCAAAACATTACAATGCTCTGGACATATCATATTTCATACATTTGATTCAAGTGGGTTATGAACTCCCATATTTACCACGTATACAGATTGCAGATTCACATTGGTTACACATTCACGTTTATACATATTGCCATACTAGTGTCTGTTGTATTTTGCTACCTTTCCTATCCCCTTCCTATCTCCCCTCCCCTCCCCTCCCCTCCCCTCTCTTTACTCCATCTACTGTAATTCATTTCTCTCTCGTTTTTTTTCCCCCTTTCCCCTCACATCCTCTTATATGTAATTTTGTATAACAATGAGGGTCTCCTTCCATTTCCATGCAATTCCCCTTCTCTCTCCCATTCCCTCCCACCTCTCGTCCCTGTTTAATGGTAATCTTCTTCTCATGCTCTTCCTCCCTGCTCTGTTTTGAGTTGCCTTCCTTATATCAAAGAAGACATTTGGCATTTGTTTTTTAGGGATTGGCTAGCTTCACTTAGCAAAATCTGCTCTAATGCCATCAATTTCCCTGCAAATGCCATGATTTTGTTAGTTTTTAGTGCTGAGTAATATTCCATTGTGTATAAATGCCACTTTTTTAATCCATTCATCTATTGAAGGGCATCAAGGTTGGTTCCACTGTATATTTATTTTTTGTGGTGCAGGGAATCAAACCCAGGGCCTTGTGCATGCTAGGAAAGCTCTCCACCACTAAGATACCCTGTCAGCCTGGTGTTATTCCTTTATTGCAGTGTACACTGAAAAATACAGATATTGAGCTTGAGTTTGCAGTGCTAGTAATTTCAGTTACAGAAATGCTAGGAGTCCCTCTAACATTGAGATTTAACTTACTTTTTTAGTTAAGGAAGTATTTATCATGGTAGAACTCAGAAGCATATCTTGATCTTACCCTCACTTTACTCTCTGAACCTGTTACTGTCTTGCATAGACACTGGGCATGGAGAAACGTGTGAGCCTAAGGGCATTTGCTTAGACTTCCTCCAAGTATTGCAAATTAAATGTTATTCCTTCTTTCACGGGTTAGCACTTCCAAGCTATGGTTAAAGCATTAGAGAAGGAAGCAGCTAGTGAGAAGCAGCAGCTGGTGGAAACCCATCTGGCCCGTGTGGAAGCCATGCTGAACGACCGTCGACGGATGGCTCTAGAGAATTACCTGGCTGCCCTGCAGTCTGACCCGCCTCGGGTGAGTTGTAGTCAGAGCAGAATCACTCTTGAGTTGTCTTCTCAGTGTTATTCACCTTAAAATGATGCCAGTTTATGTCACAGGTTGGTAAAATTTACATATTTCTGACAAGTTTTGGCAGTGCTGATGGTAAAGAAAAAAGATTAGGATAGAAAAGGTATTATGTAGAAAAGCATAACCTCAGGATATTGTTTAAGAATTAACACAATTTATGCATTTTCTGTCGTAGCCTTATTTTCAAAGAATAAAAATTTGCTTTCTATGAATGAAGGCTTTTGGACCAGTTCCATTCAAAAAGAAAAGGTTGAAGTAATTTATATTGAAACTCTTGGGTGAGCAATCTCAACCTTTTTTTTTTAGTCTCTTAATTCTAACCTGCCTTGCTTTTGGGAAATGGGAAGTATTGGAAGGATATTTGTATCCTTTCTGAGTGAGTTGGTATACTCTTCTCTTTAGGGTGACATAGGAGACCTCCTAACTTATAACTCAGATGTCAAGAGGTTTAGCCAAGAAAGAAGACTATTAGAGGGAGGACTGTGGGCTGGAGATTCTGGGAAATACTATTTTTTACAGATTTAATACAATGCTGGAACTTAGTTTGGTATTTCACCTAGAAAGAGTTTCTTGTTACTTGGTAGGCTAAAGCTTTCAGAGTTACAGCTTTCATTCTTGTTCATAGCTAAGCTTTACATTCCTTTTTTTTTTTTAATGTATTTTATTTATTTTTAGGTGGTGCTGATGATTGAACCCAGTGCCTCACATGTGCTAGGCAAAGCACTGTACCACTGAGCCATAACCCCAATCCCATAAGCTTAACATTCTTAAGTGAATTTTTCACACTTTGTTTCCTACCTGTTTTTAATTCTTGAATCTCTGGATATTAAAACAACTATTCTCTCTTGTAGCCTCATCGCATTCTCCAGGCTTTGCGGCGTTATGTCCGTGCTGAGAATAAAGATCGCCTGCATACCATTCGTCATTACCAGCATGTGTTGGCTGTTGATCCAGAAAAGGCAGCCCAGATGAAATCCCAGGTATGCCAGACACAAATGACTGCCTTGAGAATATTTTCCTTGGGGACATAGGCCTTGACTGATGGTAGGATAGCATTCTAGTTGTGTTTATTGTTTGTTCTTAGAAAATGATTTTTGATTTCCAAAGACATTCAGTACATGCATTGGTTGTTGTTGTAGCACTCTTAAAAATATCTTTTCCAGGGGCTGTGGCTCAGTAGTAGAGCACTTGCCTTGCACATGTGAGGCACTGGGTTCAATCCTCAGCACCACATATAAAATATATAAAGGTATTGTGTCCATCTACAACTAAAAAAAAAAAAAAAAAAATTAAAGTATTTTCCATACCTTATACTAAGTACTTTGTATTTAAAGTTTCTGAAGGTTTAGAAATGCATGATTGTATTGAAAATATAATCAATTTCTAAATTGGTTTTTCTATCAGTTTATTTCTGATTTAGGATATTACCAGAATTAATATTTGAAACCCCTTTCTAGACAAATATATTAAGCAGATCTTAAAAGTTGGTCTTGGGCTAGGAGTGTAGCTCACTGATAAAGTACTTGCCTAGCATGTGCAAAGGTTCCATCTCTTAATACCACAAAAATATTTTTAAAAGAGTTTTCTGTGCATTTAGTTTTTTTTTTTTTTTTTTAGACATGTTTACATTCCTGGGTTTTGTTCCATAGTGAGTCCAGCTTTACTTTACAGTTATCTGTAGAGACTTGTTTCTGGTTCCTCTTTCTCATTTTGGTATTATCCATATATCAACTTGTTTTTACTTTTCATATATTCTAAGAAAATGATTTCGCCTATAAGAGAGGTTTATTTTAAGCTAGGAAGTCTAGCAGCACAGCCTCTTCATTTTCCTAGATGGCCTTGTAATAACATCACTGATCTTATTTCCTTCCATATTTTAAATATAATGCTGTGCATACATAGAATACAATTACAGCATGGGTCCCTCCGAACTTTTTCTGTATGTTATGGTCATAATCTGCCTAGAGGTATTAGGAATATATAAGCTGAGTTTTGTTCCACTTGTTGGTGAGAAGTTGTATCACCATCTACATGCCAAAATCTTTCATATCATCTGACAGTACAAAGTTATACCACCTAAGTACTCTTGAGCGTCTTTCAGCTAGTATGAAATTAATTTTATTAATTATAAAGGTGAATAATCATATTTAAATATACAGAGTTTACATTAGAATTTGGGTGTTTGGGGGAATAGAAGAACTCAGACTCTTGAAAAGTGGGAATGTAGGAAGGAGATGGATCTAGGACCTTGGGAAGTATATGATATGGGTTTGTTAAAGGCTTTGCTTCATATCAGATGGAGTAGAAAAGAGGGAGAAAAGGCACAGTAGTACAGGAGTACTCTGAGAAGAAAGGTAGAGAAATGCATTTTGTTGGATTGAGTTAGATGCATTTTGTTGGACTAGGTTAGGCTTCTTGGGTCCTACTGATTTTTTAATACAGAATGTAATTTTCCAAACTTTTTGTTTAAAATTAGATTGTTATGCTCTATTTTCTATTAAAAAAAATAGCCTATTTTGTGTGGTGAGAATAGAAAGGGGTGTTTCAATCCATATATTGAATTAATAATTGGACAACATTTGCAAGTGAGAACAAAGTCCCATATCAAGTAGAGTGGGAAGTAGAATCCTCCCATTGTAGAACATCTTGGCTGGGGTGTGGGTAGATCCAGCTTTCCTGGATCCTATTTACTGTCCACTTTGAACTTGTCATTCTGTCAAAGTGTAGCCAAGTATCTGAATGCTAGAAAAACCCAAGATCTAAAATGCTTTTCTGATTTTGGATTTTTTTGGACTTTAAAGTATTTTTCATGTACATATGGGATGTCCAGATATCCTGGAATAGGACTCAAGTGTAAACCTGAAATTTATTTGTTTCATGTACACTTTATATGCATAGCCTGAAAGTAATGTTATGCAGTATTTTTAGTGTACCTGTGTTTTGAATACAACCTTCATATGAAGTCAACTGTGAATTTTCCACTTGTGGCATTATGTCAGCACTCAAAATGTGTCAGTTTTTAGAGCATTTATGCTTTTGGATTTTTAAATCAGCGGTTCTCAACCTAAGAAACTTCTGCCTGAATATGAGTGAGATGATGCTTTTACCCCCTTATTGCTCTATAATTCAAGAGATACTATAAAGGTGCTAATTTCCAGTATTCCACCCTGAGGCTCTTGTCCTGCTGTGGGTATATGAACTTCCTCTCAGATGGTTTCTTAGTTCATCTGAGTAAGTATAAACAGCGTCAACACTTGCTGAGGCTTTAAGTGGTGCATTTCAGTTCCATTTGCCCTTTTTCTCTAAGGTACTCACTCTTATGCTTTCCCATCAATTTACTTGAATGACAGAATGGCAAATATAAAATTAAATTGCTTTCATCCTTGCTTTTAAAGATCAGAGACCCATCAGTCTTCAATAAAAGCATCTTTACATTTAACTTTTTTTCATTTTGACCCTACATCTTAATGGTTTCAAGCCCATATAATTAATGCATTGGCTTTGAGCACCCTCTTTAGGCAAAGCGAGTAACTGCAAGTCTGACTGGGCTTAGCTTAGAGTAGGAGCTTGTGTGAGCAACAAGAGTATGCCTCACTGTATCCTTAAGGTGAACTTTATCCCAGGTCACCATTCAGCTCCACCCTGAATGACTTTTTTGTTGTTGGATAAACAATCTTGAAACTTGTACATTCAGAAAGGATAGTAAACTAAGTGAGCTATAGTCAATAACTTCCTTTAACAGTTCCTTAAAATCAGTTTTTTTAGGGATGGGGATGCAATTCAGTGCTAGATTCCTTGCGTAGCAAGCATGAGGGCCTAGATTTGATCTCTAGTACTAGAAAAAAATCAGCATGCATTATTTTAAAGAATAGTGATTTAGTTAAATAGGAATTAACTAATTCTATTCTTTACCATCATAATCATCTTTCCCCCAGTGTTGGGGATTAAACCCTGTGAAGTTCCTACCACTGAGCCATATCCTCAGCCTTTTTTATTTATTTATTTTCTGAGACAGTGTCTTGCAAAATTGCTCAGGGTGACCTCAAACTTGAGATCTTCCTGCCTTAGTCTGCCAAGTCACTGGGATTAGAAGTGTGTGCCACCAACTCTCCTGGTTACCATAATAATTATGTTAAGTATTTGCTTCACTAAGCAAAAGCCATAAATGGTCTTCCCACATATCTGCTTTTTAGATATGTGAGATCAATGATAAAAATTAACTGACACTTTCCCTTTTTCATTCAACTCTACCTTTTTGAACATCCATCACTGTAAAAAGTGGGGCTCTTTAACTCTGTGTAGTTGGTGATAAGTGCCTTGTATGAAAATCAAGCCAGTAACTGGCTAGCAAATATTTTTAAACTAAAGTTTCTTTTAATTTGGAGTCTTCCTGTAGATATATTCTTATGTCATCTAGTGGTATTATAATGTTGCCTGAACATATTCTTATACTTTAGCTGTTGGTAAATATGGTATGGAGAGTAATACATTTCCTCTGAGGAACTGTCCTGTTGGACTGTATAAAGAATGCACCTTTTGCTTGGCATGGTGGTGCACACCTGTAATCCCAGTGGCTTGGGAGGCTGAGGCAGGAGGATCGTGAGACCCTGTCTCTAAATACAATATAAAAAAGGACTGGGGATGTGGCTCAGTGGCTGAATGCCCTGGAGTTCAATCCCTAGTACCAAAAAAAAAAAGGTACCTTTTGAACTTGTCTTTCTGTGTGTGTGTATATGTCTTTCTGCCTTCATGTTCCTTTCTGGCCTGGTTGTTTTCAGTGATAAGACCTCTCCATCGTAACTGTGCTTCCAGGTAATGACACACCTTCACGTGATTGAAGAAAGAAGGAACCAAAGCCTCTCTCTGCTCTACAAAGTTCCTTATGTAGCACAAGAAATTCAAGAGGAAATTGGTGGGTACTTGATGAGTGTGTCAAGGGCAAGTTGGGACTTCTTGCTGAGTGAGGCTCAGGCACCATGGCTGAACAAGATAAGAGAAATAGGAGTCAGCAAGGCCAGTGGAGTAGGACATTATCTCACTATAGCTTCAGGGGTCTGGAAGACTGGAGCTCACATAGTAAGGTCAAGGAGTCCCCAAGGACAGATGTCCTGGAGGGGAGCCTGGAGTTCCATTGATCTTGTTAGCGGAAGAAGAAAATCCAGGGTGTGAAATTACAGGGGCCTTGGAAATTTCCTTTTACTATCCACCCCATCCTCTCGCTGCCACTATCGCCTTAATTGTTGATATATTCAGCAGTTCAAGGTACTCTGTTTTATACACATTCCCACCTTCTCTCTCTATTTAACAAGTTTTATCATGTCTACTGTGTGTTCCAGAGTACAATGGTAGAGTTTCTATTACAGTAGGAGAGAAACAGGCAGCAAAATGGAATGAAATACTAACCAAGTGTCAGATGGTTATAAATGCTAAGTAGAACTTTAGAAGCAGGATGTAATAGTGGGGAGTGACTTTAGGTCAGGATTGCTGCTTCAGGGGAAAATAACTAGATATCTAAATAAGCACAAGCTGTCTATGCAAAGATCACAAGGGAAAACATATTGTTTGCAGTGGGAATGATGAATATCAAAGCCTAAAATTTAAGTCAGTGCATTCAAGTAGATCAGTGTGGCTAGATCATAATAAGGGGAAGTGAGGCCTGGGAAATAGACAGGGTCCAGAGTATGAAGCAATTTGAGTAAAATCAAGGCATTTGGATTTATTTAAGATTTTAATAGGAAACTTTTAGAGGGCTTTAACCTAGGGAGTAACTGGATATGGATTATGCTTTTTTTTAAAAAAGAACATGAATTTAAAAATATATATATATATTGGGCTGGGGTTGTAGCTCAGTGGTAAAACACTTGCCTAGCATGCATGAGGCACTGGGTTCGGTCCTCAGCACCACATAAACAAATAAAATAAAGGTATTGTGTCCATCTACAACTAAAAATAAAAATAAGAATTAAAAAAAATTTACTTGACTGCCATGTGGAGAGCTAATTAAACTTGGAAATCAGATAGGAAATGTTTATGAAAATCCAGGAGAGAGATGGTGGTAGTGTGTGCTGAGATGATGGGAGATATTTTTAGGGTATTCCAGAGAAGGGTGAAGGGATATGCTGAGAGTTAGATGTGGGGTGAGGAAGAACATCAAGAATAACGTACGGGTGTTAAAGTAGTTGTGTGGATGGATGGTAGTATTAGTGTTCACTGAGGTGGGGAAGAAAATCTAGAATTCTCTTTGTACAGGTTAAAATAGAAAGTGCTGTTGTATGTTAAGAGAATATCTAGGGCTGGGGATATGGCTCAAGTGGTAGCATGCTCGCCTGGCATGCGTGCGGCCCGGGTTCGATCCTCAGCACTACATACAAGCAAAGATGTTGTGTCCGCCGAAAACTAAAAAATAAATAGTAAAATAATTAAAAAAGAGAGAGAATATCTAAGGTAGATGAGGCAGTTGACAGTTTGGGCAATAGCTATGGAAGCCATGATGCATGGATTTTTTTTTTTTTTTAACTGACATTGACAAAATAGGTCAAAGGGTATGAAATTATGGCTGCATGTACAGTGTAAACACTGTAGTTAATATTATTGTATGCTGAAAATTTGCCAGGAAAGTAGATTTTAGGCATTCTTACCAATAAAAAGTAAGATGATGAGTGTATAATTAGTAATCATTATTAGTAATCATTTCACTATGTATATCAAAACATGTTGTACATCATAAATTATACAATTAAAACATCATAAATTGTACAATTAACAACCCAAAACTAGCTTTGGAGGAGAGCATATAACCAGATCGTGGAAACAGTATGACTCTGATAATGGAACCCTGGGTTCCTTGCTGAAGCTCTGCTGTGTTACAGAGTTGGGGAAGGTGTTTCTGGGAGTTGAGTGGTCATCTGCGTTGTAAGCTGGTGGGACACTGTGGATCATGAGCTCTGAAATGACAAGCATTAGCCTTTTTCAGACTGCTGGTCCTGTACATAGATACTAGGTCTTTGTGAAAACTGTATCTCTATTTCCTGCTGTGTCTGTCTTTGTCAGATGAACTTCTTCAGGAACAGCGAGCAGACATGGACCAGTTCACTGCCTCCATCTCAGAGAGCACTATGGACGTCCGGGTGAGCTCTGAGGAGAGTGACGAGATCCCACCGTTCCACCCCTTCCATCCCTTCCCATCCTTACCTGAGAATGAAGGTGCGTATGGTCCTCAGTGCACTTCTTGATCCATGGGTCTGGGAGAAAGAAATTAGAAAAGTGGAGTCCATGTTTTCAAACTGAGTTGAGCTGGGGAGGTTGTATTACTGGTAAGAGTTGGGAAGACAAGACTCCCACACCACCTGCTGTGTGTGGGTACTGTTCTAGGTCTTGCCAACTAATTGGCTTCAGTATCACCATGAAGTCAAGAATACTCCTCTGTTGGGCCTGGGGATATATAGCTTAGTTGGTAGAGTGCTTGCCTTGCATGCACAAGGCCCTGGCTTATCCCCACCTCCACCCAAAAAAAAAAAAAACCAAAAAAAAAACCTTTTGATTGCTTCAAGCCCACTGCTCTTCATGCTGATGTGATACCCCTCACATGTGGGAGTCACTTGGCAAGTGAGATATCACCTTTATATTTTACTGTGTTTTTTTTTTGTTAGTCTTGGGAGATAGATAGGGGAGGGGTTAAGAAGGTGCCTGAACTGACTCAGGGTCATATCTCCAGTGTGGTAGGGTAAGAAGCTATGTCATCTGGCTCCTAGTCAGGAATGCTTTCCTTTATTCCCTTGCTGGTTTTCAATGTCTAAAAGTATCTCTAAAAGCCTTGAGTCTGCACCAGAAATAAACAAGCTGCAGAGACCATGCCCTGAGACCAGTATATATAATCAGATTCTGATTACTGCTGCTGCTAATGGTGATGGTAATGATAAAAATGTCCCACAGCTATGGAACTGTGATTACATGCCAACTTTAGTTAAGCATTTGGCTTGGATGCTTTCATTCAATCCTCAGAGTAATCCTCTAAGGTAGGTACTGTGAGTATCCCCCTTTGAGGATTCCAAGGTTTAAAAGTTAAGTACTTGTCCCCGGGGTCATGTAGCTTATAGGTGGAGAGTCAGGATTTGAACCCCAACTGACAATGCCCTGTAGTCACTGGGGTACAGTCACATGACTGTATAGTGCTGGAACAGAGGTCTGGGGAAGGTGTCGAATTGAATGGTATGTGTTCAGTCAGCTTAGCCTTTAGAAATGCCTTCTACACTACTCATTGAACAACACAAACTCAATAGTTGGCCCTTTAATAACAAAACAGGAACTGTGAAAATAGTGGGTAAAGATATGTTACCCCATTTTTAATACTTATCTTAATTTTACAATCTCAAACCTGTGGGGCTATTGGGTGGTCATATATGAACAACTTTTTTATGCTTGAGGTTGGGGCATCTTGGACATTAGTTCAGCTGGGACCTTGTCTCCTTACAAGCAAACCACAATCAATACTAACTTCAATTTTTGCTGTTTTCGAAGAATAATTTCATGTATTAAACTAATTTCAGAAATTCCCTCAAAAGGCACAAGTCAGATTACTACTTTTTGTCTCTTCAAGGATACCTTTTAATGATTTGCTGTGGATCTTACTGCTGTTAGTTTATGGGATATTTTGGAATGGTTTTTAAGGAAAAAATGCCTATTGTTGACACTGTAGAGAAATTCTAAGACAGAAATTCTGAAAGAAGCCATTTTCTTTCTTAATCTCCTTTTGTGCTGTTTTGTTTTTTATTGTTTTCCTTTCTGCTAGACACTCAGCCGGAGTTGTACCATCCAATGAAAAAAGGTTGGTTTGTCAAAGATGTTCCCTTTAAGACCTTCATTCCTTTTCACTTCTCCAGCGTCTTGGAAGTTTCATTTTCTGTTTCATGCCATCATCTGATCTTTTCCACCTCATTTCTTCAGCCATGGCTGTGAGAGGAGCCAGAGTAGCTCTACTTCCATGTGAGCTGGGCCAGCTTTCCTACACTCAAAATCTAGTGTCAGTGGTATTGGTTACTGAATGGCCATCTTAAAGCTTTCCTTCTAAAGTAACCAAAACAGATGTTTTCCTGAATCATTTTAATCTGGGTAGGTTTTTAAAAATAGCTTCTGTTTAAACAGGTTGGTTGTTGAGTTCTAATATATGTAAGAATTTGCATAATTTACAGTCAGGTTTTTGGTTTTTGGTTTTCCCTCATTTCTTTTCTTTTTTTGCTGTTCCCACCTATATCTTTTTCCCTTCTATTTTACTGTCTCTGCCCTGTGTTCTACTCATCTTATATCCCTGAATTGTAGCATTTCTCAAATGTGAGAAGCTGATAGGTGCAACAAGTGGAGACAGGTGAACAAACCCTTGCTGTAGTAATCTGTAGTTTTGAAGACAGTTCAGGAAAGCAATGTGCTGAATGCCTTGACCCTCCAGTCTTGTTTGATGGTTCAGACCTCCCTGTAGGGCAGATTTTGAGCTCTATTTTCTAGATTAGGCAATTTGAAGAAGTTACTGAGATTGCCATGACTTGCAAGTCTTGAATGTAAAAAGTAGAAGACCTGGGATCTGTACCCAGTCTCTTGGCTCAGAGCCCATGTGGTTTCTGTTGCCTAGGTTCCCATTCTCAGTTGTTGAATTCCCTGGGTAGTTGGGCAGTCCACTCTTTGAAGTCACTGAGAATACTTCAAGTTTTTTATGAGCCCACTCTTTTGGCTTTGCCAGTCTGATTATGGATGGACCAAACAGTGTTCCCTGGCTGAGAATTTGGTATTCTGATTTATACCACAATTCACTCTTAGAACATAAAAGTGATTTGAATCTTATGAAAATGCTTTACTATGTTCAACTGGGGTATGTCTCTTTTTGGAGATCACTGGTAACATTCCTCTCAACAGCACATCTTAGATGTTTATAGATAAAGATGAATTTTCTAGACACTAAACTGGCTTTTGCCTTTGTACTTAAACTGTTATGAGTTGCAACAATTTAACCATTAACTTTTGGTCCCTTGAAGTCCCTTGTTTATGTACTTTATAAAACCAAAGTGGTTTGGGTTCATATTTACAAAATGTGGGTTTTACCAGCAAGAAAGTATTATAACAGGGAGCTGAGCATGTGGCTCAGTGGTAATGCACTCACCTAGCATGTGTGAGGCCCTGAGTTCAAACCCCAGCACCTTGTCGCCCCAAAAAAAGGTATTAAAATATGTGGATTGGTAGTAGGTCTTTGTGTGAGTTGGTTCAGAACCACATTTTTTTGAATTGGATTCTGCCTTTGCAAGATTCTGAGGAGAGGGAACAAGATAGATGAGCTCAGAATTAGATTTGTTGGGCTGGGTCCTTGCTCAGGTAACTCCCTTCTTTCTCAAATAGTTGAGGCACAGTATTATTGCTTTCAGGTGAAAGGTTTAGAAAAAAGTAATCATTTGTAGCTGCTATGATATATAATGTTAATGAATTCACTAACCTTCAAGTTCAGCAGATTAGGTAGTGTTAATTTCTGCTATTGTTCTGTGTTAAGAATGATTCTAGTTGTGAGCTAGAAAGCTTTGTTTTATTGCTGGGAGCTGTGATTCACATTTGTATTCCCAGCTACTTGGGAGGCTGAAGGAGGATCACAATTTTAAGGCCAACTTTGGCAACTTAAGAGCCTCTCAGAATTTAAAAAAAAAAAAAAGTGGGAGGAGGGGAACTGAGATTGTAACTTAGTGGTAAAATGTTCCCAGGTTCCATCCCTAGTACCACTAAAAATAAACAAAAAAACCCTTAGCTTTCTGGCTAGACTTGTCTGCCTTTAACAAGCCCAGAAATAGCACCATGGTGCATAAACTCACATTGGAATTTTATTCACTTGCAGAGAATTACCAATGAATGTTGAGTATGCTGTCAGGTTGGTCTGTTTATAATAAGTCACAGATGTGTATAGAACTATAGGTATAATTAATAAGAAACTTGCGATAACTAGAAATCATGTGCTTTGGAACTATACAAAGAGGTTTGCCCTCTTTCAGCCTCCCTCTGTCTGTGCTGGGTCAGTCATGCTATGTATTTGGATGCTATCATTTCAAGTGCCATTGATTCAGCAGTGTCTGACCTTGGAAAGAGAAGAGTTACTATTGTTCCTTGTAGAGAAAGGCATTTTCCCACCCTGGTGTTAGAATTCTCCCTGTTGATGGAATGCTTTGTTCCTGTTCATTCTGTATGTATCATTTAGGATGTGATCATCTAGGATCTAGACTCTGAGAAGGAATACAACCTATGGGAGAGACAAAAGGACACTGATAATTACAAAGTGTGTGGTTTTAAATGTTATAACCTGTGTGTATCCGCAAGAGGAGCTGAAGCTTGAAGGACAAATAGTAGAGCTTGAGGTGTCTAGGAGGGTATTTGAGACAGAAAGAACTACCTGTGGAGTAAACTGTCATGCACAAGGCAAACATGCAGATCATTGCTGTGTGATTGTCCTCCTTTGTACATATGGAAAATCCTGGGTGAAGAATCAAGTTGTTGGGATAGCAGGTGCTCAGCAGTGTCACATATGAGGGTACTGCATGTTTTTCTTGCTAGAATGCCTTCAGACTCAATTTTTATCTATTTTAAAATAAACATTCTCCCTGGAGGCTGTATATTTTCTTTTCTTTTTTTTTTTTTCCCAAGTGGAGGACAAGTAAGCTCTCTGTCCTCCTACATTATGCCCATCGGTCCTTGGAAAATACCTCTGTCATTCATCCTTGTAGAGCACAGCACATCCTCAAACATGGGAACGCAGTGGCATATTGCGTCGGAGGTGGGGGAGGCACTTGGTGAGGGGGCTTCCTGGCCCTCAGGCAGAAATTTGCTGTTTCTGTGATATTGGCCCACAGTGGGGCTCCTAGAAACTCAGCTGTGATCTCTCCCCACACAGGGTCCGGAGTAGGAGAGCAGGACGGGGCACTGATTGGTGCAGAAGAGAAAGTGATAAACAGTAAGAATAAAGTGGATGAAAATATGGTGAGCCCATTCTCTCTTCTGCCCAGAACATTTCCTTTTGTGACTCATTAGAATCATTGGTCTGATGTTAGCACTTCATATCCAGTAGGAGATGGAAACTCCAGCTGTCCTCCTAAATTAGCTGTGTCACTTAGCATCTGCAGATGAGAAGGACTAATGAAGTCTTTCACTGTAGTATTTTATCTCTTAATACAGTAGGAAAATAACGTTTGCAACTAAACATATCAATAACACTAGAAGCCATTTTCAAGTGAGTAACAATTTAATAACTTAAAGTTGGGCTTAGTTTTTATACTGCAGAGTTTATACCTCTTTATATTCTTCTGTTTTCTGTCATTTATGTCTCTGGATTATTTTTAACTAAGTTTGATAATTAAACATGGCTTCTTAGTAGTCTTTCCTGAGACATGTATCCACAATAGTTCCCTAAAGAAAAATGCAAGTGGTCAGGCACGGTGGAGCATGCCTGTAATCCCAGTGGCTCCAGAGGCTAAGGCAAGAGGATTGGAGGTTCAAAGCCAGCCTCAGCAACTTAGTAAGACTCTGTTTCAAAATAAAAAGGACTAGGAATGTGGCTCAATGGTTAAAGCACCCCTGATTCAATAGGTAAACATCACCACCACCACCCTCAAAAAAATGCAAGTGAAATCCCTTATTAGACCAGCTCCCACACAGTAATTTTTGTATCCCCATTTGCATTAAGGGGTTGTGACAGAACTGACTGGTTAGTAGGTGTCAAATATATGTCTGCTTTCTACACCAAATGGAGTACAAAAGAAGCAATAATACTTAAAGTAAATTTCCACTCCTACCCACTTGGTAGTTGCTGACGTTTTCATTAATCTTCCAGGTCATTGATGAGACTCTGGATGTTAAGGAAATGATTTTCAATGCCGAGAGAGTTGGAGGCCTTGAGGAAGAACCGGTATGTGGTTAATTCCAGAACCCAATTCTAGATTTCATGTCAATGTTGGCTGTTTCCAGTCTGCTCAGTTCACGTAGAAGAGACTTGTGTTTTAAGCAAATAAGGGCTCTCATACTTTTGGGTAAGAAAACTAAAATGAAAATCTCTAGAGATTGGAAAAGAGGGCATTCTTCCCATTTGGATAGTTAACGTGAAGTAGGATTTTGTTCTGCTCCCTTAGGTTTTAGAAACCCAACTTTAAAGGCTCGTGACCGTCCTTGAATTACCTGTCTCATGGTTTGCAGGTGGTCATTGGACTTTGTTCCCCATCTTCTATATTTTAGGAATCTGTGGGACCTCTGCGGGAGGACTTCAGTCTGAGCAGCAGTGCTCTTATTGGCTTACTGGTCATTGCAGTGGCCATTGCCACAGTCATCGTCATCAGCCTGGTGATGCTGAGGAAGAGGCAATATGGCACCATTAGCCATGGGATTGTGGAGGTGAGGAGCTGTACTTTGTTCTGCCTTGGCCCAAGTTCATGAAGGTTTCCTCTCTGCTTTCCACCTTAGAGTGCCATGAGGGGGCTTGTTAGTAGAATTCAAACATCTTAAATTCTTGAGTAGTGAACACATTGCCATCATCAGTTGCATCACTCACTGGATTATTAGGTCACATTTTGGAAGTTAGCCATAACTGAAATATGTTGATTTCAGCATTAATTTGGGCTCTGATTGTGAATATCAGAAAATTACAAGAACATTTTGTGCTGTGGAGAATAAAAATAATTTTCTGAGTATTTCCTTTGTTCTTCCTGGGGTGCTTAATCATTGAGCTACATCCCAGCCTTTTTATTTTTTATTTTGAGACAGGGTCTCACTAAGTTGCTGAGGCTGGCTCTGAACTTGGGATCCTCATGCCTCAGCCTCCCAAATCACTGGGATTACAGGCTAGCACCACCATGCCCAGCCTTAGCTTTTCCTTTTTTGAGATGTGTTAGATATTTAATGACCAAGGACTGCCACTCATTTTTGGTGGTGGGGGTGGGGGAAATAGAACTTTTTTTTTTTTTTTTTTTTTTTTGCTGTTCCTGGGAACTGGACCCAGGGCCTAACACATGTTAGATGAATGCTTTACCATGAAACTACACCCTCAGAATTACTCCTCTTTTTTTAGTGGGGGAAAACCAAAAAAGAAACAGAAAATTGAGAGAGAGCCAAAGCAGGCCATTTCTGTTCTGTCTTCTGATTTGTAATTGGAACTGTTTGCCTCTCATTTTTTAATGGATGTGGGAAATGTCCAGCATTTCTTGATTCTAGAATATAAATACAATAAGGACTATAATGTATCCTAAAAAATGAGTTTGTTTGTTTGTTTGTTTGTTTATTTTTGGAGGGGAGAGGTGGCACCAGAGATGCTGGATTGAGCTCAGGGCTTATTAGTTCAAATGCAAGTTTCAATAGTATTTTCTCCTGTTGGAGCCTGGCCTGGCTGTGGAGTTTTAGAATTCAAAAGGACTAGAGACTATCTGGCTCTATTCCTTATTTTATAGCTGAGTGTGACGTGACTTGCCTTCACTGTCCCACATAGTTAAGCAGAACTGAGTTGCTTGGCATTATGGAAATTCAGTAGGCTCTAAGAATTAAGTTTTTAGGACTCTAGTTACAGAAACTGGTATTACTCTTTGACCCCCTTTCTCTTCTCCCTGCATCCTTATCACCAGCTCTCCTTGGTCTCTTCAGTGGAAACAAGATGCTAGGTTGCTTTTGGTCCCCAGGGTATTACAAATAGCAGCAAATAACTCTGGTCTCCTGAGACCCTGCACAGGCCTCTTCAAATATATTACAATGACTTCTAACCTTTTCTTCTAGGTTGACCCAATGCTTACCCCAGAAGAGCGTCACCTGAACAAGATGCAGAACCATGGTTATGAAAACCCAACCTACAAATACCTAGAGCAGATGCAGATTTAAGTAGCAGGAAGCATGTGGCACCCTGAATGAAGGGGTGGTGCAGTGGGCCAGAACAGGTCCCGCATTTTGGACCAATTGCTGACCCCCAGCTGCTGTCAGAAGGTCTCATCTTACATCTTGACCTCCTGGATTGTTTAAGACTCTAAAGTACTACTGTAGAATTGCAATTTCCATTCTTTTAAATGGGTGAAAAATGTTAATATAACAATATATGATATATAAACCTTAAGTAAAATGGAAAAAAAAATCTATTGCAGATATCTGATGGATGTAGTTTTCTTTTTTAAATTAATCAAATCCCACTTCTATTGTATGGTCTCACATGCTCTCTATATAAATGGAAATTGTTGATTTTCAATGATAGACTGTATATGCAGACTGTTTGTTCCAGTTACATTGTGTGTAAGTCAACTCTTTAGGCTCATTCACTGTTCTGATTTTTATTATTTAAAAAAGATAAAAAGGCAGTATTCCCTTTTTAAACTTTCAGAAAGTTGCTGAGAAACTTAGTGGAATAGGAAACTGCAGTTGACCATGAAGCACATCATGATGCCCTTGCTAAATGATTCTGAAGGGTCAGTAGTCTCTTGGAAGCCCAGTGTTTGCAGTCTGGGTGGGAGCCTTGGAGTCTTCATACTAGTTATGTCACCAAGGTGGGGTGTCAAGGCATTTTTGTTCCCATGTCTTTCGGCAAGCCTAATGCATACAGATGGGGGTGTCCACTGCTGCTTTCCTTCTAAATCCAGTTCTTCCACAGCAACTAGCCTGTAGTTTGTGAAATTGTTTCACTATTTTTAGTTCACTTACTGTAGCTTTTTACTCTTCACTTCCCCTTAAAATTGTGTGCAGATGTGCAGTCTCTTCTTCTTTGGATGTCTCCCTCTAAGGCACTGACCCTTGGCCTCCTTTTGTACTTTCACTTCTGCCTCCTCTCCTGTCATCCAGAGAAGACACTACTATAAGTAGATGAGGGAGGGTCCAGAAGAGAGCATGGGGAATATTTATGTGATAAGAGAATGTTCCGGGTTGTACACAAAACTGGATCTTTAGACACTGTGGAAAGCTTTGAAGATTTTTTGTTTCTTTCACATGAGTCTCTGTAATGCTTGTATAGTTCATGTTGATGCTCACAGCTTTTCCTTTTTCCCATTTTCAGTTGAAGGTTCTGGTAACCTGTGGTGTATTTTTTTTTCCTGGTTTTTTTTTTTTTTTTTTTTTTTTTTTTTGGACTTTTTTTGTTTTCTTTCCTCCCTTTGCCCTTATCCATGTCTCTTCCCACTATGCACAGATTAAACTTCACCTACAGACTCCTTAATATGATCTGTGGAGAATGTACAGAGTTTAAACACATCAATAAATACTTTAACTTCCACTGAGACTCCTTGTTTTATTGACTGTGCAAAGTATTGATCTGTTATGATGGTGTTGCCCCTCCTACCTTCAGAGATGACGGATGTCTTCTTTCTGTGAAGGATTACTGGGCTGTTCCACAGAGAATGAAATAAGCCAACTTAAGCAAGTCTTGACTCTTGAGCATAAATTCCATTTTCATTCAAAAAATAAGAAAGAAATTCTGCCTAGAAATTCTGTCTGGCAAAGTTTATTCGGCTACCGGTACTTTATTAATGACAGAATTTTTGTCTTAATGTTACTAGAAAGAATGAATAGGGCTTATGGCACTAAATTTCCAAAGAAATGTTTGCAGCCCTCATTTCTGAGTTTCTTCAATAACCTGCCACTAGGAGACCTAGTTGAAGGGGGTGTTATTGCCACTAAGACTCATGCTCCCCCAGCCCCCCATACTGGGGATTTAACCCAGTTACATCCCCAGCTCTTTTTATTTTATTTTATTTTGAGATGGGGGGTCTCTCTAAGTTTCTTAGGGCCTCTTTAATGAAGTTTTTGAGGCTGGCCTCAGACTTGCAAACTTCTGCCTTAGCCTTCCAAGTTACTGGAACTGCAGGCATGTACCACCATGCTTGTCTTCACTAAGCTTTTTTAATGCTATGATACTCTGGAAAGTAAATTTCAGGGCTGATTCATTCCTACCCCATTTAATATAATTTAAATATCTGGAGCAGTTTTCAAGGTCATATTGCATACACCCGTATGTAATTGTATACACACACACACACACATATGTATGTATGAGGGATCTTTCCTAGAACACTGGAATAGAAAGAGCACTTTATGAGCACCTTGGGTTGAGCCACTGAACGCCTTGGTTCTCTCGCTTCCCCAGCGTCTCTCCCTTCTGCCTGGTCATTTAGGTGCTGCCAAGAAAGACATGGAGGAGAGGGGCCTTTTTATTTTTGAAGCCAATTTCTGCCAGTGTGCTTTAAAGAAGGTTGTCACTTAATAATCTCAGCCAGGAAATGGTTCTAGCATTCCTGATCTGATTCCAAATGCAGCCGACCAGCTTCTTTTTTTTTTTTTTTTTTTAGCAGGTCTACCATCTGCTAGCTTTTTATGGGCAGTGTCTAGTTTAATCATCTTAACATTTGGAGGTATAGTACTCCTGTGTCACAGCAAGCTGAGGTTTTCCAAACCCAGCTCTAATGGAGTTCCTCCTTCACTGTATGTCAGTCTTAGAAAATGGGTCTTCAAGTTTGCCCTAGAAGTGGGTTTCTGTCCACTGGAACTAGCCAACTGGTCAACTAAGGACTTCTATCCGTTACCAGCACGCCTGTTGATCATGTACCTCAGAGAACTTCAGAGATGGTGAAATTGCAAAAGTTTCCACTTAGACATTATCCAAACAGGTCAGCACAGCTACAGCTGGGGATAGATCAGAATGTAGGAGACCCCAAGTGGATTCTTGACTTTCACTGCTGAAAATAAATTCTAGAATGTATGAAAAGCAAGGAATGAGCAAAGATCTATTTATGGACAACCAAGATAAACACATCCCAAAGGCAGAGTGCAGGGGGGACCCTTGCCTCTCAGAGAAGAGATGAGTGATGCACCCAGAGCTGAGCTAACTACACAAATGATTTTCCTGGGAAGACATGCACAGGTTCTGAAGCAAGCTCCTTTGAAAATCAAATTCCATGGCAGTCCTTTGATATTTAGGACTTAGAATTTCTTTTTAGTTAAGCAGCCTAGCCATAGAACATTTGTCGACATATAAGTCTTTGAATCTGGTAACATTTAAGTCTATTATGGCTTTGTTCTATTTGGTTCACTAAAAACATATGCTAGAGGTTTTTATTATTCATTTAACTAAAGGGATAAACATGACTGGTCATGCTCATAGATCAGGTCTCCATCTACTAAGGGTTTCTTTCTCTTTCCCCGGGAGACTACCTATCTTGAGAGGACTTCCTTAAGCAGTCAAGAAAGGAAGATGGAATACAGCCAAATACCTGGAATGAATGATGGAATTTGCAATTAAATAATATGTGGTCACCATGAACATATGGCCATTCTCCTGAAATGATTGACCTGCCCTGTAGGATTGTACAAAACTGAGCAAAAATGTGACCAGATAAAACAAACGCTTTCCCAATGTGTGACTTCATAAATTGGAATGCTCTCATCTAGGACCTTTACTACACATTAAAAAGAAGAATGTAGGCGTCTTGGCAGAAAAGCCCACCCGTCTCCTTCACCATGGCCATATTTGCTTTACACTCAACCGGGTATGGGTTCATTGAATCAAATTCTTACACACAGTTGAGGTAGATGTAGATGGTAGCCATATAGAGATTAAGTTTAAATTTTGTAAGGAAATAGAAGTCAGGAACTGTGCGTAAACCTCACCCTAGGCTGGCTCCACTCTGCTCCCTGGTATCCTAGCCCCCTCTTGTTCAGAGAGAAACTTATCTGGTTTCTGCCTTGGTGACTAAGCTTTGACCTCAGGGGAATGTGGCCCTACCCACCTGCCCTTAGCCTCAGGTGCTGGCAATTGACTCAGGTGCAAAGTCCTCCTACCTGCCTACCTGCGCTCAGCAGCTAAGGTCTGAGCCAGCCCAGGTGTCTGGGAGATCTGATCTGATTTCATTTGCTGTGACAACTGATACACTTAAAGTAAGAGTATCATATAATAATAAGGAGAGACAAATTAGGATGTATGGTGAGTCCCTAAGGGTTGGAGAGGCCCAGGGGTCCACTCTCATAGCACTGTCCTTAAGATTTCTCATGGGATATCATGGACATGGAGAAAACAGAAGAAAGTAGAAGGGCTCCCTTTCACTGATGAAACGGGACCAGAAGCTCACATGTTATTAGTGGCAGAGCCACTGTCAGCGTCAGACTCTTTTTTCTGCACCAAAGGGCAAAGTGGTCCTTAAATGAACATACTATAGTGAATCTCACCATTACGTATAACCACCAGGCACTAATTTAAAAAAAAAAAAAAAATGTAAATAGGTCAGCAGAAGGAAGGAAATGGGGAGGGAAGAGAAGGAGGGAAAGGTAAGTACTAGGGACTTAATTAGAGCAAACTATACTCCATGCGTTTATAATTATGTCAACTCCTGATGTTATCTATAACTATTATGAACCAATAAAAAAAACAAATCAGCATCTTGCCTTGTTACCTATGAAGTAGGGGATGTCATGGCTATTCTGTCCCCTGTGGGTATTCACTTCAGCAGGCCTTAACACAGGCTTTGTTAGTGTACCCCTATTGTGGAACACCCTAGGTTTTCAGAGGATAGGCACAAGAAATTTTTCCTAGAACCTTGGAATGGAGGGTCATGACTTACTGAAGCATCTGCCAAAGTGCTGTGGCCATGATAATCCAGGCCCAGTTGAACTAAAAATGTGGAAATCAGTCCCTCTTTCTGACTAGAGCAATGTGGCTTTCATCAATGACACGTTTTTAGTTATGTGCCACATGTTTCTATGTGGTAATTTTAAAGTTATGTACATGTACTATCTTAAATAGAAAGTTGGAAAGTCTAAAATGATTGTTCCAAATTTTATTTAATAAAGGTGCAAAGCCTTTTGGATTTCAAAAAACCCTAGTTTTAGAGTGAGCAAAACAATGGCTTGCTTTTGCTCTTGCGCTGGTGGGTGTACTTGTGCACTCGTGTTGAGTCAGATTTCTTTGCTTCTACCTAACGTCCATTTCATTTGTGCCTCTAGCCTCTTGACTGAGGCAATTTCTCAGACTTTCCTTGTTTTATCATCTTAACAATTTTGAGTAGTACTGTCAGATGTTTTATAGAATGTCCCACTATTGGGATGTGTCTGATGTTTCTCATAAGACCCTGGAGTTGTGATTTTTGGGGGAGGAAGATCACAGAGTCAAAGGTCTTCATCATATTAGATTAAGAATACAAGGCTGGCGCTGTGCTCAGTGGTAGAGCAACTGCCTCGCACGTGTGTGGCACTGGGTTTGATCCTCAGCACCACATAAAAATAAATACATACAGATAACGTGTCCATCTACAACTAAAAAAAGAAAGAAAGAAAAAGAAAAAAGAAAGAAATAGCAAGAGAATAAAATGATGGAAAACAAAGAACAAAACACTGTGGGATGTTGGTAAGTTGCTGTCCTCTAGGCTTGGGTTAGAATAGCCCAAGGAGGAAGCAGGAGGAAATTTAAAGTTGTTTGGTATGAAGGGGAAATGAAAGTTTGTCTGATGAGTGCAGAACCCTCTGGTCCAACCTGTGAGAGCAAAACACTCTGTGCCTGCCCACCAAGATGATGCATATGAGTACACAGAGTTTCCCATTACAGGCAGTGCTGCTAAGAATAAGGAGAACCTAGAGCCTGCAAATCTGGTGCTACCACCTAGCCGAACAGCCTCCCGATCAGCCTTTGCATTGTCATCTGTCAGAGAGGAGTCGTGCATTCCATGAGCAGATTCAGAGAAAAAGTGTTTATCCTTCTGAATAGAGGTTCTGAAATGTGATGTTAAAGTGTGGAGGAGGAAGGATGAGGATATTAGAAAGATATGTGTAATATCATTATAATCACAATCAGAACAGTGAACAGGCTTGGAAGGAGATTTTGAAGTGGGAAACACCTTATGCTTCGAAATGTCCTTGTGATCCATCATTGAAGGGAAGGCAAAAGAGTGTTCGCCAAGGGCAAGAATTCATTCTTGAATGAGGTCTGAGTTGCCTTTCGACAGGCATGATTGGATCACCAACCACTGTGCAACAGAAGTTAGATACATGATAGATTACTATGATGGCGGCAAAGTCAGCAATGACTACCAGTTCATCATGCTGGACGTCCGCCCACCTTAGATTCCCTTTCAGCAGTAAGGGATAGAATGAAGGTGGCTTGATGGTGCTGGACATCATAACCACTGTTTTGTTTGTGATGCAAAGTATAGACTTTTTTTTTCTGAGAGATACATTAAACTATTTTTCCCAAACTGAATTGCATTCATGATGTAACAGGGACTTCAAGTG